CCATACGAAGCATTTGAACGCAAAAATTTTGCCTCGCCTCACGATAAAAAGCTCGCCTTACATGATTTGTCTGGGACGCGTCCCACGTGTGGCCTCAGCGCCAATGTTTACAAGCCAGTCAGTGCAGTCGCATCTACGCATACATTTGGTACATTCCACATTATCCCAGTGTTTTTAGTGCTTGTAACTGCAAAATAAGTCACCATAGACCCCAAGAAAGCTTCTAGTGCCATCCCTGTGGTAAAAAGGGCGAGAATTAGTATGGAATTGAAAAAAGAGATTAAGGAAATGTGTGCAAAGTGGGTTGAACTGCAAACCTTTATGGATGAAAATCACCCTGACACAGCTACTGCAAGCCGTGTTGGCAACCTGTACAATGACAATGTTATGGCCCATTTTACGAAAGTCTTAAAGGAACAGGAGGTACAGAGCTCTATGGACAGATTTGTTGTGCGACAGAGGTCCAGTGACTCTCAAGCTGGTCCTAGTGGCATTAAAAAAAGAAGGGAAGTAACCCCAGAAAAGGACTTGCTACCTCAAGTCCCAATGGAAGGGGATTCCCCTTCTAAACAATAACTTCCACACTCTCCCCTCCTCCCATCCCATCAAGCATCACCAGATCTTCAATAAAGGTAAGTGTCATGTATTCTATTCTTAGTAGAGTAGTAATTGTGCGTGTTTTCTTCAGTTTGTGTGTATTAAAATTAATATTTCATGTGGTAAAAAAATTTTTTTTCATACTTTGGGGTGTCAGGAATGGATTAATTTAATTTCCATTATTTCTTATGGGGAAAATTAATTCGGCCAACGATAATTTTGGCTTATGATGAGCTCTCAGGAACGGATTAATATTGTAAGGCGGGGGTCCACTGTATATATATACAGTGGACCCCCGCATAGCGACCTTAATCCGTGCAAGAGGGCTGGCTGTTATGCGAAATGTTCGGTATGCGAATGAATTTTCCCCATAAGAAATAATGGAAATCAAATTAATCCGTGCAAGACACCCAAAAGTATGAAAAAAATTTTTTTACCACATGAAATGTTAATTTTAATACACACAAACTGAAAAAGGCATGCACAATTACATGACACTTACTTTTATTGAAGATCTGGTGATGATTGATGGGATGGGAAGAGGGGAGAGAGAGTGTTAGTGTTTAGAAGGGGAATCCCCTTCCATTAAGACTTGAGGTGTCGAGTCCTTTTCTGGGGTTACTTCCCTTCTTCTTTTAATGCCACTAGGACCAGCTTCAGAGTCACTGGACTTCTTTCGCACAACATATCTGTCCATAGTGGCCTGTACCTCTCGTTCCTTTATGACTTCCCTAAAGTGTTTCACAACATTGTCAGTGTACAGGTTGCCAACACGGCTTGCAATAGCTGTGTGAGGGTGATTTTCATCAAAAAAGGTTTGCACTTCAAGCCATTTTGCACACATTTCCTTAATCTTTGTAGTAGGCAATTCCTTCAATTTCTCTCTCCCCTCCTTTGAACCAGTTTCCTCAGGTCTGGCCTCTTGCTCTTGAAGTTGATCTATCAGCTCATCAGTGGTTAGTTCTTCAATGTCGTCCTCCACCACCTCTTCCACATCCTCCCCACTAACCTCCAACCCCAAGGACTTCCCCAATGCCACAATTGATTCCTCAGCTGGTATACTCCTCTCAGGGTTAGCCTCAAACCCTTCAAAATCCCTTTTGTCTACACATTCTGGCCACAGTTTCTTCCAAGCAGAGTTCAAGGTCTTCTTAGTCACTCCCTCCCAAGCCTTACCTATAAGGTTTATACAATTGAGGATATTAAAGTGATCTCTCCAAAACTCTCTTAGAGTCAGTTGAGTTTCTGAGGTCACTACAAAGCACCTTTCAAACAGAGCTTTTGTGTACAGTTTTTTGAAGTTTGCAATAACCTGCTGGTCCATGGGCTGCAGGAGAGGAGTGGTATTAGGAGGCAAAAACTTCACCTTAATGAAGCTCATGTCCCCATAAAGTCGCTCTGCCACGTCTGTAGGATGACCAGGGGCATTGTCTAACACCAGGAGGCACTTAAGTTCTAATTTCTTTTCAGTTAGGTAATCTTTCATATTGGGGGCAAATGCATGGTGTAACCAGTTATAGAAAAAGTCCCTAGTGACCCATGCCTTACTGTTTGCCCTCCACAGCACACACAAATTATCCTTGAGGACATTCTTTTGCCTGAACACTCTGGGAGTTTCAGAGTGATACACTAATAAAGGCTTAACTTTGCAATCACCACTAGCATTGGAACACATCAACAAAGTAAGCCTGTCTTTCATAGGCTTATGTCCTGGGAGTGCCTTTTCTTCCTGAGTAATGTAGGTCCTGCTTGGCATTTTCTTCCAAAACAGGCCTGTTTCATCACAATTAAACACTTGTTCAGGTTTCAGTCCTTCAGTTTCTATGTACTCCTTGAATTCCTGCACATATTTTTCAGCCGCTTTGTGGTCCGAACTGGCAGCCTCACCATGCCTTATCACACTATGTATGCCACTACGCTTCTTAAATCTCTCAAACCAACCTTTGCTGGCCTTAAATTCACTCACATCATCACTAGTTGCAGGCCTTTTTTTAATTAAATCCTCATGCAACTTCCTAGCCTTTTCGCTTATGATAGCTTGAGAAACGCTATCTCCTGCTAGCTGTTTTTCATTTATCCACACCAATAAGAGTCTCTCAACATCTTCCATCACTTGCGATCTCTGTTTCGAAAACACAGTTAAACCTTTGGCAAGAACAGCTTCCTTGATTGCCTTTCTGTTGCCCACAATAGTAGAGATGGTTGATTTGGGTTTCTTGTACAACCTGACCAGGTCGGTGATACGCACTCCACTTTCATACTTATCAATGATCTCTTTCTTCATCTCTATTGGAATTCTAACCCTTATTGCTGTAGGGTTGGAACTAGAAGCTTTCTTGGGGCCCATGGTCACTTATTTTCCAGAAACAGCACCGAAAACACTGTAATAATACGAAATATTCCGATTGTATGCTTGAATGTTACCGCGGAGGCTGGCTGGTAAACAATGCCACCGGCGGAACATATGAGGCTGGCTCAGGCCGCACATTGGACGCGTCTCGGACGAAGGGCGCTGAGCGGGTTTTTGGGCGGTATGCGAGGCAAAATTTTAGCGATCAAAGCGTCCGGTATGCGGATTGTCCGTTATGCAAGGCGTCCGGTATGCGGGGGTCCACTGTATACTGTACTAGATACACATAACCAGTGTTCAATGAGTAATAATCAGTATCTATTTATGAGCTACATTGATTTTTGCCCTATTAACTGCACTACGTATATCACTCATGAGTACAAATTATAATATACATTGTATATCATATTCCAATAAAGCAGAGGATTCAAAGATGTATTATATATAGTTAAGTATATTAGTATTATAAGAAAATCATTAACATCTCACCTTTTATGCTAGATGGGTTAGCATACTCTCCTGGAAGCTTTACTGGAACTCCCCGTCCAAACTTATCCATGCTATAGATTTCTCCTGAATCACGTGTAACCCAGTATATACTGGACTCGAACACATCTAAGGACAGAGGATGTCTCAAGTGGTTTCCTGTAGCAACAAGAGTTCTTCTAGAACCATCTTCACGCATCATTTCAATTTTATTAAGTTTGGCGTCAACCCAATACAGTGTGTGTTCCATGGCAAAATCAATTGCAAGTCCTGTGGGCTGGCTAATAGAGTCCGATACAAGAATTCGTCTTTTGCTGCCATCCATCCAAGACGTTTCAATCTTTGGTATAGAGCCAATATCTGTCCAGAACATATAACCATGATCAGGATCAACAACTACAGAGGTAGGATCTTCCAGGCCAGTGGCAATGACTGAGTGCCGATACCGTCCATCCAATGTAGCCACCAATATTGCACCACGAGGCTTATTGCCTGTACGATCTGTTTCACTCCAGTACAGATTCATGGCTGCCCAGTCAATAGCAAGGCCTGTGGGTTTAGCTCGGCTTTTGATTTCCAAATTCTGTGCATAACCCATCGTCACATTTGCTCTTTCAGGAGACCCTGGTAGATAAGATCGCTTGATTGTTTTACCATATGAATCTGTCCAGTATACAATACCAGATTTAGGTTCATAATCAAGAGACTCAATACTATCCCCTTTGATAACATTCATTGCTCTATTAGAAGTTAAATTAAAAGCTCGAATTTCTGGGCTATCTGAATAAACAAGAGTAATAGCTCCTTCTTTTAAGCGGCAAACGCCATTTATCTCTGGCTCAAAACCTTCTCGACAGGAACAAGCATGAGTTCCATTCAAATTAGTACACAACTGTGAACAATTATGTATAAACTCTGCACATTCATCAATATCTTCGCATACTTTTGGATTGTTGGGTGAAATCCGGAATCCTCGCTGACAATGACAAATATAGCCACCATCTTTAAGATTAAAGCATGACTGTTCACATCCACCAGTTGTGCAGTTTGAAGCTGTATCTGGAAAAATGAAGAACCGGTTACAACTATGTTCTCTTGCTCACACACTAATGATTTAATTTATTCTTTACTTCAATAGCTGTCTCCTGACAAGGCAGGGTAACCTAGAGAAGAAAAACATATAACCATCATTCATTAAACTGATATCTTCCCTGAAGTGTGCTGACTCAAGTTCAGCTAACTGGTTTTCCTGAATCCTTTCATAAAAGGTACCTTACTCACATTCCAACAGCACGTCCATTAACCCTTCAACTGTCCAAACAGATCTATGTTCACATGCGTAGTGCTTAAAAAGTAGATCTATGTTTTTTACATATTTTCAAATATAACAAAAAAGAACATACATCAAAGTTTTTTTACACATTTTCAAATGTAAAGAAACAAAAAGAAGATCTATGTTTTTTATATACTTTCAAATGTTGAAAAAACATAGATCTACGTTTGGACAGTTTAACCCTTTCAGGGTCCAAGGCCAAAATCGGAAGGGGTGCCCCAGTGTCCAAGAAATTTTGAAAAAAAATAAAAAAAATTTTTTTTCTTACAGAATTAAAGATAATATTTTTTGTGAAGGTAATAAAACAAAAAAAATTTCTGATCAGTACTTACCGAGATACAGCGGCGGGAAGTTGACCCAAAATGACCGGGTGGCGGCAACATCAGTGACTTCAGTAAAATCACATTTTTTTATTTTATGTTTTTTATACTTTTTTATTTTCTAATTTTGTTCTTTTTCTAATAACATTTGTGGCCTATGAGACCAGTATAATGTATATTGTATAAGTGTACACTCATTGTATTCAACACAATAACTGCACTAATTTGTTTATCATTATATTACTTACAAAACTTGTTTACAAGTTTATTGTAAACAAAATGATGAAAATATTGTTGTGGTTATTGTGTTGAATACAACAGTACCATATAGAACCATATGGTACAATGGTGCCATAGGGTGCAATGGTACCATATAGTACAATTGTGCATATGGTACAATGGTACAATATGGTACAATGGTACATGATACACTGGTACCATATGATACAATGGTACCATATGGTAGAATATGGTGCAATGGCACCATTTGGTACAATGGTACCATATGATGCAATGGTACCATATGGTGCAATGGTACCATATGGTACATTGTACCATACAGTACAATGATACCATATGGTTCATTGTACCATATGATACTATATGGTACTGTTGTATTCAACACAATAAACACACTAATATTTTCATCATTATTTTGTTTACAATAGTTATCTACAACAAAAATATGTAAAAATGTTGTATATTAGTAACGTTCTATTATACTATATTTACAAATGTACAGGAACTCGACATGTTCCTTGGGGTGGATGACAAAAACTGAGGAGTCAGTAGCTAGCATGTGTCGCCACTCACTCAGTCTTGGCTGGTGTCTCGTGCCACCAACACCTATTGAGCATATGGTACACAGTATCATACGTTACAGGGTACCATATGGTACATTGTACTATATGGTATAGGGTACCATGCAGTACAGGATAACATATGGTACAGGGTACCATATGGCACAGGTTACCATATGGTGCAGGGTACCAAACAGTACAGGACACCATATGATACAGATACAGGGATAACTATGGAAATAAGTCACCCTGACTTTTTTGGGTTATCCTAGGATTTTATACGTATGTTGCTATGTATGATAATACAGTGGACCCCCAGTTAACGATATTTTTTTCACTCCAGAAGTATGTTCAGGTGCCAGTACTGACCGAATTTGTTCCCATAAGGAATATTGTGAAGTAGATTAGTCCATTTCAGACCCCCAAACATACACGTACAAACGCACTTACATAAATACACTTACATAATTGGTCGCATTCGGAGGTGATCGTTATGCGGGGGTCCACTGTATATGTAATTGTATTTCTGTACACCTGAATAAACTTACTCAAGCGCATGTGGCATCATAAGTAAGTTTATTTAGTTTTTTTTTTTTTTTTTTTAACAAGTTGGCCGTCTCCCACCGAGGCAGGGTGACCTAAAAAAGAAAGAAAATCCCCAAAAAGAAAATACTTTCATCATCATTCAACACTTTCACCACACTCGCACATTATCACTGTTTTTGCAGAGGTGCTCAGAATACAACAGTTTAGAAGCATACACATATAAAGATACACAACATATTTAGGTATACACAAATATAGTTCCATATAATATCATACTTAGAAGCATATGTTTGGAGAACCTAGGATAACTCAAAAAAGTAAGTCAGACTTATTTCCATTAGGGTCCCTGTACCCTGTACCATATGGTATAATGTACCATATGGTATCATATGGTACCATTGTACCATAAGATACCATTGTAACATAAGATACCATTGTACCATATGATACCACTGTATGACATGGCACTATTGTACCATATGGTACCATTGTACCATATGGCACAATGGTACCATATGGTTCAAAACCATAGAATTCCTCTTCAGCTCCACTTCCATCAGTCTTAGAACTGTAAGTTGTGAAGAGGAGAGTCAGAATTCACCCAGAGAGTGAGTGGGGAGTGAGAGCTTCCTTGCCACCAGGCACGATGAACAAAGCTACTTTGCCGGCGTTCCCACAATGCCATGCTTTTGTCCAGATTTTTTCTATAGTGTGCACACCGACCACCCAGACCCATTCTCTCAGATGTAGGCCTACCAGCCTTCTCGCGCTAAATTTGACACTGCTAGAATTTTGGTGTAGATCTATGGTTTGGACCCTGAACGTAAAGCCGTAGATCTACGGGACGGACCCTGAAAGGGTTAAGGGTTAAAAACCACTTGTCTACATGTCTAAATTTATTCCATCTAATATCCACACAAGCCTGCTGAATGCTGAAACCCACAAAACTCGAAGCCCCTTTTACCCTCTTCCTCATACAGTGGAACCTCAGTTTTCGTTTGCGCTGGTTTTCATTGAATTCAGTTTTCGACAACTTTTTTCATCAAAATTTTGTCCCAGTTTTCGTTCATCACTTTGGTTTTTGTCTGCTGTACTGAACATGTCCACCTGCCTGTGCCCAAGCAAAGCATCCCATACATGCGTTCTGAGTCAGTCTGGCTTTGTTTCCTGTTGAGTGAACATTACCCTGTGCATTCATGTGAAACATTTCATAATCCATTGTTTGTTGTGCTTGTTTATTGAGTGCAACTGTTACATAAGCCACCATGGGGCCAAAGAAAGTTCTAAGTGCCAGCTGAGGAAATTGCTTCAGACATAGAGGAAGAGAGAGGGGAGAATGTGCCTTCTTCAGTGATTAAGGACATGTGTGCAAAGTGGAGTGAGTTGCAAAGTTTTGTGAAGAAATATCACCCTAACAAAGCTGTTGCAAACTGTCTGCAACATGTTCAATGACAATGCCTTGTCCCATTTTAGGCAAATCTTAGAGATGCCAGAAACAGATTACTCTGGACATATTTTTCATGCAACAGGTGTCTAGTGACTCTCAAGCTAGTCCTAGTGCCAGTAAAAGACAAAGAAGGGAAGTAACCTCGAATAGGGACTTGATACCTGAAGTCCTTATGGAAAGGGATTCCCCTTCCAAACAATAACCTCTCCTCCCTCTCCCCTCTCCTCGCCATCTTCCATAAGCCAACAAGAGTCTTCAATAAAGGTAAAAGTTATGTTAAATGTTCATTTATCCATTTTGTTAGTCCTTTATATTTATTTCTCAATGTTTTCTGTATGTAAAACTATAATTATTCTCTATAAAATGTATTATTTGCTAATACTTTTGGGTGTCTGGAACAGATTAATTGGATTTACATTATTTCTTATGGGAAACACTTCTTCAGTTTTTGTTGAATTCAGTTTTCGCCAGACTTTCTGGAACGAATTATAGAAGAAAACCGAGGTGCCACTGTACTATTTACCTAAGATTACAAGCTTATGTGCTCCACACAAAGATCTGTATTTGTCAATTAAAGTTTCTTATTTATAGAAATGATTTGCCAGCAGGAGTATAATGTACTAGATAAGAATATGTTTGTAAATGTCACAAATAACCTTTGCAAAGTAAGAAATAAAAATGACTGCAAACCCCAACAAGAAGAAACAAAAAAAGTGAGCAAATGAAATAATAGGTGGATGATGGCATTTAATGTGGATAAGCATGACAAGTAGTATAGTAATAAGAGCATTCAACTTAAAATAAAAATCCCAGGCTCAATTCCTATGCAGGGCATGCAGCAATGAAGATTTATGCTGAGTCCACACCTAAAAAAGTTATACAATAGATTAACTAAAAAAAAATCAGACATACTATGAAAGGGCTCCTAATCTTAAGAAATAGAAGCTATGAAAGTACAGTAGACTGAAAACATTGTAATCCCATCATGGTTGATTGAAAGATAGGGAAAAACATAATATAACTACATATACATAAGATTATTAGCCCTTTCAGGGATGGTCATGTACATGTACATCATTACACCTGGGGTCGGTCACGTACTTATATGTGTAAATTTGAGCGCCTTCAAATCGAGTGGGAGAAAGTTGGTAGGCCTACATTTGAGAGAATGGGTCTGCACGGTCAGTGTGTGCAGTATAAAAAAAAAAAACGTGGAGCCAGTGGTGCATTGTGGGAACGCCATGTTAGTAAGCCTTGTTCACCATGCCCCACGGTAAGAAACACCTCACTCCTTGGCGAACTGGAATTTTTTTGTTCCTAAGTGACAGTTCAAATACAGATGGAAGTGCCAGTGACGAAGAATTTCAGGGTTCTGAGAAGTTTGTGATTGAAAACAATGAACATAATAGCAGTAATAGTAATGAAAACATCATTATTACATCATTAATGTCATGGTCAGTCACACAGATCTGTCATGAGCTCAGCTCACTCAGATAAACTGTGAGTGACAAATTTTAGCCTAGATGTAAAAGAATGGGTCTGTGCAGTGAGTGTGAAGTATAAAAAAAGAATCCTGCTTCATGTGGTGCATTGTGAGAAAAGCCAAACTTTGACTTAGTGTTTAGTTTAAAATAGCAAATTAAAGTTTTTTCTAGGTTGGTTTTTATGGTTTTATTGGCTGTTTCTTGGTATCATTTGATAGACTGGAAGACACATTATTAAAGTAGAGATGATTTTTTCCAAGGATGGGTAAGGATTTCCCTACCTGCCAGGTCTGTTTTTATGGGTTTTTACTAGGTTTGATTCAATTAATGGCATGCCATAAACCATGACAATCATTCCTGGTTATATTTTATCCGAGAAATAGGTAAACCTTCAATTTTTGTGCCATAAATTTAAAATGGAAGGTAAGTGTAATATAGGAAAGGCTTAGGGACATGATTAATGCACAGAGGAAATTTTTTTAATACCTAAAAGACCTAAAAAAATAAGCCAGAAATAATGGGATTAAATTAAATTAGAGAAGAAGTATATCATATGAGGTGGCATTCACATGAAATTCAAACGAAAAAAATCCAGTCAAATAAACAGGTGGTCAAATATTAATTATTTTATATTTTTATTAACACCGGCCGTTTCCCACCAAGGCAGGGTGGCCCAAAAAAGAAAAACTCTCATCATCATTCATTCCATCACTGTCTTGCCAGAGGCATGCTGATACTACAGTTATAAATCTGCAACATTAACACCCCTCCTTCAAAGGGTGGCACTGTACTTCCCATCTCCAGGAATCAAGTCCGGCCTGCCAGTTTCCCTGAATCCCTTCATAATTGTTACCTTGCTTACACTCCAACAACATGGCAAGTCCTAAAAACCATTTGTCTCCATTTGCTCCTATCTAACAAGCTCACACACGCTTGCTGGAAGCCCAAGCCCCTCGCATGCAAAACCTCCTTTACCCCTTCCCTCCAACCTTTCCTAGGCTGACCCCTACCCTGCCTTCCCTCCACTACAGATTTATACCCTCTTGAAGTCATTCCATTTCATTCCATCATCTCTACATGTCCAAACCATCTCAATAACCCCTCCTCAGTCCTCTGAATAACAGTTTTGGTAATCCCGCACAGCCTCCTAATCTCCAAATTATGGATTCTCTGCATTATATTCACACCACACATTGTCCTCAGACATGACATCGCCACTGCCTCCAGCCTTCTCCTTTTTGCAACATTCACCACCAATGCATCACACCCATACAAGAGTGCTGGTATAACTATACTCTCATACATTCTCCTCTTTGCTTTCATGGATAAAGTTCTTTGTCTCCACAGACTCCTCAGTGCACCACTCACCTTTATCCCCTTATATTCATATTCATATTCATATATTTTATTTGGACATGATACATAGTATATAGTAGTTGGGTGTACATGCCAAAAGCCCCTTGTATGCAGAGCATTATGGGCAGGCTTATAATTAACTTAAAATTAACAAGCAATGAAAGGTGTAGTGGCAAAATTACCGTAAACAATTTACAATATGAAGTACAATTGAGTATTTGAAACAATGAAATTTGAACATTTCGATATTGAATCATTATAGTTGTACAAATTTGTCACATTACAGTGTCTGTCAAACAAGAAGATCAATTTACTGCATGTTGTCCTGAAGTTTTAAGATTTAAGTAATTGAGAGAATTTTTGGTAATGTTAAATATTGAGTGTTGAATATTTAGTCCTGGGTGAGTAAGTGGTTTTTTTAGAAGAAGGTCTTGTACATGTCCTCTGAACTAAGATTCCATGATGATGCAGTGTCTGACAAGTTGTGCAAGAAAGGTATAAAATACCGACAAGATGAAAGTTAAGACACATGTGCAACATCTGGTTATCTTTATTATAGATGTCTTTGCCACTGGATGGTGACCGCATTAGAAAGTCAGGTGTGGGGAGCTGTATAGAGAGTTTTGGTCATAATTTGAAATGACTGTATTAGCCGAACACCGCAAAGTGAAATGCCGTAAAGCGGGGCCCTACTGTATTCTTAAATTTACCCAATACATCTTCTACCTCATTGCCTATACCCACACTAGCCCATCTGTCCTCCAACAGTTGTTTATATCTTACCCTAACTGCTTCCTCCTTTAGTTTATAAACCTTCACCTCTCTCTTACCTGATACTTCCATTTTCCTTGTATCCCATCTACCTTTTACTCACTGTAGCTACAACTAAAAGTTATCTGATATATCTGTGGCCACTCTATAAACATCCGGAAATCTACCCAACAGTCTTTTATCTACCAATACGTAGTCCAGCAAACTACTGTCATTACGCCCTATATTATATCTTGCATACTTATTTATCCTCTTTTTCTTAAAATATGAGTTACCTATAACCAAACTCCTTTCTAGACAAAGTTCAATCAAAGAGCCCCCATTTTCATTTACACCTGGCACCCCAAACTTACCTACCACACCTTCTCTAAATGCTTCTCCTATTTTAGCATTTAGGTCCCCTACCACAAAAGTTTCTACACACTCACTTAACATCTCCCAAAATCTCTCTCTCTCCTCTACACTCCTCTCTTCTCCATGTGCATACACACTTATTATGACCCACTTTTCACATTCAACCCTTATTTTAATCCACATAATCCTTGAATTTATACATTTGTATTCCCTCTTCTCTCTCCATAACTGATCCTTTAATATTATTGCTACCCCTTCCTTAGCTCTAACTCTCTCAGATAGTCCTGACTTACTACCATTTATTTCTCCCCACTGAAACTCCCCTACTCCCTTAAGCTTTGTTTTGCTTTGGGCTAGGACATTCAACTTCTCATTCATAACATTAGCAATCATTTCTTTCTTATCACCTGTATTACCTCTGCACACATTCAAACATCCCAATTTTATAAAGTTTTTCTTTTCCTTGTCTTTAGTAGTTTATACAGGAGAAGGGGTTACTAGCCCATTGCTCTTGGCATTAAGTCATCACCTATGACACACACAGCTTACAGAGGAAGAAAAATAGAAGAAAACCCAGAGGAGTTAGTATATATATGCTTGTACATGCATGTGTAGTGTGACATAAGTGTAAGTAGAAGTAGCAAGACATACCTGCAACCTTGCATGTTTATGACAGAAAAAGACATATATATATGAAAAATGTATTGTACTGTATATACAGGATGATGTTCTGTATATACATTTCGACACTAGCCTTCTCCCCCTCATAGTAGATTGACCAAAAAGCAAAAGATCACTCTCACCCATTCCCTAGCTGTCTTTTCAAAAGTGCAAGGTTATCACAATTCAAATGATCAAGCGATCTGTAATATCTTCACTCATCATAATATCTTCACTCATCGTGAGCGTGGAAAGCACAGTGCTTGCACTTTGATGGTGAAGATGTTACTGTTTAATGGCTCATTCATACTTTTGTTCCTGCACTTCTGGAAGATAAGATAAGATTTTCTTCAGATTTTTAACCCTGGAGGGTTAGCCACCCACGATAACCCAAGAAAGACAGTGCGTCATCGAGGACTGTCTAACTTATTTCCATTGGGGCCCTCAATCTTTTCCCCCAGGATGCGACCCATACCGGTCGACTAACACCCAAGTAGCTATTTGCTGCTAGGTGAACATGACAACAGGTGTATGTAAGCACATTGAAATGTTTCCACCCCACCAGGAATCGAATCCAGGTCCTCCATGTGTGAAGCGAGAGCTTTAGCAACCGGGCCACCAGGGCACCCATGTCATATTACCTAGCTGGGAAACTGCCAGTGTGTTTAACCCTCTCACTGTTGGTCCCATAATATTACGGCTTGCAAGCCAGTGTTAGTCCCGTAATACTACACCAAAATTCTAATAGATTCAGATCTGGTGGGAGAAAGCTGGTAGGCCTACATGTGAAAGAATGGGTCTGTGTGCGCAATACGAAAAAAATTGGGAGGCTGCAGTGCATTGTGGGAGTGCCAATTCAGTCCACCTTGTTCACCATGCCTAGCAGTAAGAAATACCCAAGTGATGGTTCTAACACAGATGGAAGTGTTAGTAAAGATGAATTTCATGGTTTTGAGGAGTTTGTGACTGAAAGCAATGCCCAGGATACTAGACACAGATAGTGAAAAGGGACGACAGCATGGGTGGTGGGAAAGGCAGCGTGAGTGGTGAAGGCAGCGTGGATGGTTGGGAAGAGAATGTATAAGTTTATTCAGGTATACATGAATACAGTTACACAGAATTATCATGCATAGCAGCATGTGTAGAGAACCTAGGATAACTCAAAAAAGTCAGTGACTTATTTCCAGCGTGGGTGGTAATTAAGACAGTGTGGGTGGTGGGGAAGGCAGCATGGGTGGTGGGGAAGGCAGCATGGGTGGTGGGGAAGACAGCGTGGGTTTGTGTAAACAAGCTTTGTAAACAATATAATAACAATATTTGCACCAAAATTAGATTACCAATAATGTTCAAGTCTCACTGGCAGAAATACAAAATTAAAGTGAAAATTAATAATTGTAAATGTAAACAATATACTGCTTAAAGAGGGCACAAGGCAACACTTTTTGCTTCAGGCCACATAAGTTGGGATTTCCAATGCCAGGGTTACTGTGGTTGTGGAAACTAACAAAATGCTGACAGCATATTTGCCAAGCATAGAGACCTAAGTATTTCTTGGTGTCACTCCTCAAAGTGCCAGTGGGCTCATTGGACATGACTGTATCCATACTCCTGTAACCTCAAAAAGATTATTAAAATGATTACAGACAAAGCAAGACCACTTACGGCAACCAAGTTCATCAGACGAATCTCCACAGTCATCAGCATGATCACAGGCTTTGGTAGGAGCAATGCACTTGTGATTGGCACAGCGATACTCATTAAATATGCAAGGTCTGGGTCGATGGGAGCAAATAGTCATGTTGTTTTCATCTGATCCATCACCACAGTTGTCTACACCATCACATTTTTGATACAACGGGATGCATTTGTGGTTGTTGCACTGGAAACGACGTAATGTGTTGCACGTGTAATTGCCTGAAAAAAAGCCCAAATAAGCAAATAAAAATCTTAAATTAAAAAGGTTAATGCAAGATTGTGTTGAAACATTTATGAATTATTATGTGGCTTTTTCTTCTAGTGCACAGTATTTTGTATGGCTATACAGTGGTCCCTCGATAATTGTAAGGCTCCATAGTCGTAATTTTCGAAAATCGTAACGTTATTTTCATCAAAACATTGGCTCGCAAATCGTTGTTTGACTCGCAAATAGTCGTTCGTCTGGGACGCGTACACACAGCCCCGAGCCGCCTCACACTTCATTCCCAGCCAGTGTGCCACTGTTTATCAGTGAGTGAGGATGATCCCATGAGTTCACATGATACACTTCATAATATTCCATTTGTTTTAGTGCTTGCAACTGCTATATAAGTCACCATGGCTCCAAAGAAAGCTTCTAGTGCCAGCCCTTTGGTAAAGAATGTGAGAAACACATATAATTTAAGAAAAAGTTTGTAAAAAAATACGAAGGTGGTGGTGATTGAGTGGAAGCAGTTGTGATAGTGGTAGAGGGTGGTAGAGGGTGCTAGCAGTTGTGATAGTGGTAGATGGTGGTAGTGATGGTGGTAAAAGGTGGTAGTGATGGTGGTAGAGGGTGCTAGCAGTTGTGATAGTGGTAGAGGGTGCTAGCAGTTGTGACAGTGGTGGACGGTGGTAGTGATGGTGGTAGCAGTTGTGATAGTGGTAGAAAGTGGTAATGATGGTGGTAGAGGGTGGTAGTGTAAGTAAGTAAGTAAGTAAATTTATTCAGGTATACACAATACAGTTACATAGAATTATCATACATAGCAGCATATGTGTAGAGAACCTAGGATAACCCAAAAAAGTCAGACAGAGTGACTTATTTCCATTGGGGTCCTTTTACCTTATTATAATATAAAGGTTATAATATTTTCTTATTATTCTATAATGATGGTGGTAGAGGGTGCCTTCTTCAGTGATTCAGCAATTCTACCAACTCCTCCAATGTTGTTGGAGTTATATAGGGCTACAGAAAACACCGCCGCCTCAGCTGCTGCTTCACCACCATTATGGACGGCTTACTCTTAGTGGCCCTTATACACCCAACAACAACACAGAACAACACCTCTCATGATATACATGACTTATTTTATTCATTCTAGAGTATATTCCATGTTTCTATGTTATTAATATTGTTTATTATGTCATATTAGTTGAACTGTGATAGATAAATAAGCCGTAGAGTTGATATTAGTGTCACATTCTCCAACAATAAACTCGCCTTCCCTCCCTCTGCCATACATCAACAAAAGTCTTAAATAAAAGGTAAGTGTGATGTTAACCCCTTGACTGTCACAACCCCCAATCCTGAGGTGTCTCCTGGTGTCGCAAAATTTCAACAAAAAAAAAAAAAAAAAATATGAAATGATAGAGAATCTTTTCCTGATTGTAATGACATCAAAAGAATGAAATTTGATGGAAAACTGACAGAATTACGCTCTCGCGAAGTTAGCGACCTTGGTGGTATTTAGAAATCGGCGATTTTGCCCACTTTGAGCCCTATTTTCGGCTAATTCCATTGCTCGCATCGACCAAACTCATAGCTATTTCTTTAGAGCTCCATTTTTTCTATCGACTGAGTACAAGAAACTGTCCATTTACCAATTTCAACTACCCAATAACATGGTCAGAAATTTGCAATTTGGCCAATTTCATGAAAATTAAAAAATATGACAATTTCAAAATAAGGTCCAGAATGAACAATGAAGACATTCCTGGCTCTAAAATAACATTTTCTTTGTTCATCAGTCACGTTTCCAGACCCCTCTGATATTACTCTCGCTTTCTATTTTGAATTTTTATTCAAACAAAAAATAGATGATTTACTGTTACGCAGAGTACTGCAATATTGTAATAATTGTACAAATAATGTCAACCCATTCATGACTGCATATTAGAATGGCTACTTGGACATTTATTGGAAAATGACATCATTTGTTTACTTTTGAACATCGGCAAAAATCAAACATTTCCCCTACTTTGAGCTCCATTTCAAGGTTCTTTTTATAGTAAAATCAATCAAAATCACCTCTATTTCTATAATATGCTTTCCATTCTATCAAATGAGACCAAGAAAATGAGAATACAACCATAAATTATTTTTTTTTATTATCACACTGGCCGATTCCCACCAAGGCAGGGTGGCCTGAAAAAGAAAAACTTTCACCATCATTCACTCCATCACTGTCTTGCCAGAAGGGTGCTTTACGCTACAGTTTTTAAACTGCAACATTAACACCCCTCCTTCAGAGTGCAGGCACTGTACTTCCCATCTCCAGGACTCAAGTCCGGCCTGCCGGTTTCCCTGAATCCCTTCATAAATGTTACTTTGCTCACACTCCAACAGCACGTCAAGTATTAAAAACCATTTGTCTCCATTCACTCCTATCAAACACGCTCACGCATGCCTGTTGGAAGTCCAAGCCCTTCGCACACAAAACCTCCTTTACCCCCTCCCTCCAACCTTTCCTAGGCCGACCCCTACCCCGCCTTCCTTCCACAACGAAAATAGACCACAAAGTCGGCATTTTAATTAAAAAAAAAAACGGTCAAAGTTTTTTTTCTCATTATGCACTGCGTGCTGCAGGATTTTTTTTATATGGTGCACACTGACCACACAGACCCATTCTCTCACATGTGGGCCTACCAGCTTTCTCATGCTTGATTTGAAGCCGCTAGAATTTATGAGTGTATATACATCAAACATGGTGGCTCGTAAGATGTACATTCAAAGGGTTAAATGTTCATTTATACATTTTATTAGTGCTTTACATTTATTTGGCATTCTTTTCTGCATGTAAATCTATATTAAAGCTAGGAAAGTGACCCCTGAAGTGACCTAGAGTCCTTATGGAGGGGGATTCCCCTTCCAAACAATAACCTTTCTTCCCTCTCTCCTCCTCCCTGTCTTTCATTCATCAACACAGCCTTCAATAAAGGTAACTATCATGTTGAATGTTCATTCTTTTGTGCATGTAAATCTATCTTTAAGGTAAAAAAAATTGTTGTTGATACTTCTGGGTGTCTGGAATGAATTAAGTGGATTTACATTATTTCTTCTGGAGAAAATCGTCAATTTCGATAATAGTCACACCTCAAGGAACGGAATAATTACGAAAAAGAAGGACCACTGTATGCTTTATTTACATAATCTCTGCAGAATAAATACTAATAACAAAAAATAAAAAGTAGGATTTTCCCTGTAAAATGAGACTTTTCATCCGGCACAACTTCTTATATAAGGTGACAGTCAGCAGCATGTGAAGATATGTAACATGCTGCTCTTACTTCAAATGTGGTGCCTTTCTCATTACCTGTTAATTTAGACCACTGTTCATCCATGACATTAAACTCGACCTAGGCTAGCTGAGAATTATTTACTACCACAGTAAGGTGTTATAACTCTTTACATTTGCTCAAATTTGCCAGAGGGTCAAAATATCATGGAACTTAATAAAAAATGAGGAGTGAAATTATTAAATAAATGTGGCATAAGCAATATCATGGGTGGCACTAAAAACTGTATGGTCCTGGAAAACACTGACGATCCTATAAACTGAAGTGACAGTGACAGCAATGATTTGGCCAGTGTCTTAAAACAAATATATATACAGGATGACTATCACTAATCCGGCATCATTGGTACCTGTACGGTGCTGGATTAATGATTTTGTCGAATTACAGAGTGGTTAGGTTAGAATACATTTAACCCAACAGCTGATAAATTAGACACATGTGCAACTCTTGGGTATCTTTATTGAAAAAAAGTTTCGCCACACAGTGGTGAAACGTTTCTTCAATAAAGATACCCAAGAGTTGCACATGTGTCTAATTTATCAACATGTCGGTTCTCTGAACCATTCATCTACAAACCCAACAGCTAACCACCTCATGCTACCTTTCAAATACTCTGTAAATCGGTACAAGTTGGTTAACCCTTTCACTGTCACAACTCCTGCTCACAAACTTGCTCCGTGTTGAAGAATTTAAAAAAAAAAATTATTTTATCTTATGAAATGACAGAGAATCTTTTTCTGAAGTTTTTTTTTTTTTTTTTTTCAACAAGTCGGCCATCTCCCACCAAGGCAGGGTGACCCAAAAAAGAAAGAAAATCCCCAAAAAGAAAATACTTTCATCATCATTCAACACTTTCACCACACTCGCACATTATCACTGTTTTTGCAGAGGTGCTCAGAATACAACAGTCTAGAAGCATACACATTCAGTGGACCCCCGCATACCGTACGCATCGCATACCATACAATCCGCATACCGGACGCTTTGATCGCAAAAATTTTGCCTCGCATACCGCCTAAAAACCCACTCACCGCCCTTCGTCCGAGATGCGTCCAATGTGCGGCCTGAGCCACGCTCACATGTTTCGCCGATGGCATTGTTTACCAGCCAGCCTCCGCGGTAACATCCAAGCATACAATCGGAACATTTCGTATTATTACAGTGTTTTTGGTGATTTTTTCTGGAAAATAAGTGACCATGGGCCCCAAGAAAGCTTCTAGTGCCAACCCTACAGCAATAAGGGTGAGAATTACTATAGAGATGAAGAGAAAGATCATTGATAAGTATGAAAGTGGAGTGCGTGTCTCCGAGCTGGCCAGGTTGTATAATAAACCCCAATCAACCATCGCTACTATTGGTGGTACTGCTGCTGTACCACTGTCAGCTGCTGCTGCACTGTCAGCTGCTGCTGCACTGTCAGCTGCTGCTGCTGTTGTACCACCGTCAGCTGCTGCTGCTGATGTAGTACCGTCTGCTGCTGCTGTAGCATCGTCTGCTGCTGCTGTAGCATCGTCTGCTGCTGCTGTAGCATCGTCTGCTGCTGCTGTAGCATCGTCTGTTGCTGCTGTAGCATCGTCTGCTGCTGCTGTAGCAGTCGTCTCTGCTGCTGCTGTAGCATCGTCTGCTGCTGCTGTAGCATCGTCTGTTGCTGCTGTAGCATCGTCTGTTGCTGCTGTAGCATCGTCTGTTGCTGCTGTACCACCGTCAGCTGCTGCTGCTGCTGTAGCACCGTTGTTGGTGTGGCTTATTGAGAATACCAAGAAACAATTAACCCCAGAGGATTTGCCACCCAGGATAACCCAAAAAAGTCAGTGTCATCGAAGACTGTCTAACTTATTTCCATTGGGGTCCTTAATCTTGTCTCCCAGGATGCAACCCACACCAGTCGACTAACACCCAGGTGAACAGGGAAAAATGCCTGGAACTAGTGCTCATATTGGTGAATTTAAAGCCAGCAAAGGTTGGTTTGAGAGATTTAAGAATCGTAGTGGCATACACAGTGTGATAAGGCCTGTTCTGGAAGAAAATGCCAAACAGGACCTACAGTACTCAGGAGGAAAAGACACTCCCAGGACACAGTGTCTCATCAGTCATTGCTGCATCTTCAATAAAGGTAAGTGTCATTTATTCTTCATTTAGTAGAGTAGTACATGCACAATATATATTGTGCATGTACTACTCTACTATTGTGCATGTATCCTTCTCTTTGTGTGTAGGAAAATGTATATTTCATGTGGTAAAAATTTTTTTTTCATACTTTTGGGTGTCTTGCACGGATTAATTTGATTTCCATTATTTCTTATGGGGAAAATTCATTCGCATACCGAACATTTCGCATAACAACCAGCCCTCTTGCACAGATTAAGGTCGCTATGCGGGGGTCCACTGTATAAAGATACACAACATATCCCTCCAAACTGCCAATATCCCAAACCCCTCCTTTAAAGTGCAGGCATTGTACTTCCCATTTCCAGGACTCAAGTCCGACTATATGAAAATAACCGGTTTCCCTGAATCCCTTCACTAAATATTACCCTGCTCACACTCCAACAGATCGTCAGGTCCCAAGTACCATTCGTCTCCATTCACTCCTATCTAACACGCTCACGCACGCTTGCTGGAAGTCCAAGCCCCTTGCCCACAAAACCTCCTTTACCCCCTCTCTCCAACCCTTTCGAGGACGACCCCTACCCCGCCTTCCTTCCCCTATAGATTTATATGCTTTCCATGTCATTCTACTTTGATCCATTCTCTCTAAATGACCAAACCACCTCAACAACCCCTCTTCTGCCCTCTGACTAATACTTTTATTAACTCCACACCTGAAGGTAATGAAACCAATAGTACATAATTTGTGGAAACCCTATAGAAATTATGCTCTCACAAGTTAGGGGTCTCAGCTTCTTGATATTTTCAAAGGCCTCAGCATCCATAACCTTAATAATTTAATACAATTAAGCAACAATACTTACTGCAAAGACTTTCACGTTCGTCAGAGTTATCATAGCAATCATTGCTTCCATCACAAAGATCTCGCATCTCCACACAAAGATGGTTATCACACTGGAATTTCTCATCTGGACAATAACGTTCTCCTGGATAACGTGGAGGACAATCTAACTCGTCGCTCAAGTCATGACAATTGCGTTCACCATCACATTTAAAGTGCTTCTGGATGCAATGGCCAGATGAACACTGATACTGGCTATCCTGAAAATAAATTGAGAATCACATGAATAATTCCTATGTATGAATGAATGCTGATGTAGCAAGATTTTGCAGCTGTTTACAGCATAAAACAGGTGTCTGGTCAATATGGAAAACATTAAAGCAAGAAACATTATGTAAGAAATTAAAATGAAACTTTAAGCTAGCAACGTTAAAGCATAAGGGATAAATAAATATACTAATTATATTTTTTAGGATCTACAAATAAAAATCTATACAGTTCATTTTTGTCAATGCAAATGAGTATAAAATATGGTACAGTATTTAAAATACAAATGTAACCGAGGTAATAAATATCTTTTCTACTGCTAACATTTGTGTACAATGTAAATATTGAACTATACCTAAACAAACTCCTTCTGTATACATTACTAAATTTAAAGAGAGAAACTTTCATTTTTCTTTTTAGGACACCCTGCATCAGTGGGATACAACTGGTTTGGTAAAAAAAAATAAGCAAGCAAATTATCTTACTGTGCATTTATGTTCTTTACAATTCTCTTCATCTGATTTGTCTCCACAATCATTATCATGATCACATCGCCAGCGGTTTGGAATACACTTGTTATTGTTGCAACGAAATTCACTCTCGGAGCATTCACGATACTGGCTACGACAAAGCTCTTCATCCTCATCAGAGTTATCACCACAGTCGTTCTCAAAGTCACATAGCCAACGCCTGAGAAAGGAATTATGTGAATTCATTAAAATCACAAAAAAATTTCTATAGCTGTGGAAACTAATTTTCTAGTTATATGAAACTGCATAATCAATAATTATAAATAATCAGATATAATAATGAAATCAGGGATGCCTCTTATGAGCAGCATTTTAGGCACAACTAAGTATTTAACATTATACATGTATTCATAGAAATTCTAGGTAGTAGGTTGGTAGACAGCAACCGCCCAGGGAGGTACTACCGTCTTGCCAAGTGAGTGTAAAATGAAAGCCTGTATTGTTTTACATAATGGTAGGATTGCTGATGTCTTTTTTCTGTCTCATAAACATGAAAGATTTAAGGTACGTCTTGCTACTTCTACTTACACTTAGGTCACACTACACATGCATGTACAAGCGTATATATACACACTTCACTGGGTTTTCTTCTATTTTCATACTAGTTCTTGTTCTTGTTTATTTCCTCTTATTTCCATGGGGAAGTGGAACAGAATTCTTCCTCCATAAGCCATGTGTGTCGTAAGAGGCGACTAAAACGCCGGGAGCAAGGGGCTAGTAACCCCTTCTCCTGTATATATTACCAAGTGTATAAGAAGAAACTTTTGTTTTTCCTTTTGGGCCACCCTACCTCGGTGGGATATGGCCGGTGTGTTGAAAGAAGAAAGAAGATTCATACAAATAAAATAGTACATTAAAATTGCATTAATAGAAACTTTACATATAAGATAATTTAAAGCTGTAATAAAATCAGTCTAAGAAATGTTAATACCCGATACTTTATATAATAATATGCAAGATAATTCAGTTGCAGTGAAAGCAGTTCAAGAAAGGGTTGGAAGTAGAGTGTGAATGTTTGCAGTGTAACCATGTTAGGTTGGAGTGAGTGGGGCAAATAATTTTTAGGATTTGGCGGAATGTGATAAAGGCAGGATTTCCAAAAGCGTTCATGAAAATTGATTAGTTGGACTTAGAGTTCTGAAGGTGGGCTGTACAGTGACTTCACTCCAAAGGAAGGAATGGGGATATTGCAGTTCAGAGAATTAACTGAATTATGACCTCTATGAACTTTGGGCACAGGTATTGAATGAATGATAGTGAATGTTTCCTTTATTGGATCATTCTAGCCTGGTAGGAGATGACAAGTGTGATAAAAAAAATAGTTACATTCAAGCACAATATAATCTGTACAGTAGGGCCCCACTTTACGGCATTCCGCTAACAAAGACATTTCAAATTATGACCAAAACTTACTAAATGGCTCCCCTACCTGATTTTCTAATACCATCACTGCATTCCACCTAGTTTGTTTACATTCTCTGTGAACACATTTCTCTATTATGTCTGGAAACTTTCCAAAATTTCATGTGTTTTAAAGTTATTTCATATTTTATATATATAGCCTCTCCTCACTTAACCCTTTGACTGTTTACGCCATACATATACGTCTTATGCACCACTGTTTCTGACGTATTTATACACATAAATTCTAGCGGCTTCAAATCAAGCAGGAGAAAGCTGGTAGGCCCACATGTGAGAGAATGGGTCTCCATGGTCAGTGTGCACCATATAAAAAAAAATCGGGGAGCCATTGGTGCATTGTGGGAATGCCATTTCAGTTGTCCTTTTTCAGCATGTCTAGCGGTAAGAAATATGTGACTCCCCAGCAAATCTGGGACTCTTCTCTTCCCAAGTGATGCTCTAACACAGATGGAAGTGTCAGTGAAGATCAATTTCATGATTTCGAGGAGTTTGAGACCAAAAGCAATGGAGGAGGAAGAAGAGGAGGAAGAAGAGGAGGAGGAGGAGGGGGAGGAAGAGGAGGAGGAGGAGGAGGAGGAGGAGGAGGAGGAAGAGGAGGAGAAGAGGAGGAGAAGAGGAGGAGGAAGAGGAAAAGGAGAAGAGGAAGAGAAGAGGAGGAGGAAGAGGAAGAGGAAAAGGAGAAGAGGAAGAGAAGAGGAGGAGGAAGAGGAAGAGGAAAAGGAGAAGAGGAAGAGGAGGAAGAGGAAGAGGAGAAGAGGAAGAGGAGGAAGAGGAGGAGAAGAGGAGGAGGAAGAAGGAAGAAGGAAGAAGGAAGAGGAAGGAGAAGAAGAAGAAGAAGAAGAAGAAGAAGAAGAAGAAGAAGAAGTAGTAGTAGTAGTAGTAGTAGTAGTAGTAGTAGTTAGCAGTAGCAGTAGCAGTAGCAGTAGCAGTAGCAGTAGCAAGTATAGTAGTAGTAGTAGTAGTAGTAGTAGTAGTAGTAGTAGTAGTAGTAGTAGTAGTAGTAGTAGTAGTAGTAGTAGTAGTAGTAGTAGTAGTAGTAGTAGTATAGTAGTATAGTAGTAGTAGTAGTAGTAGTAGTAGTAGTAGTAGTAGTAGTAGTAGTAGTAGTAGTAGTAGTAGTAGTAGTAGTAGTAGTAGTAGTAGTTCCCTTGAAGCATGGAAAACAGTTCACCCCATGACAGTGACAAGATAATGTGAGATAACATCTGATAAGAGCTGATTTTGATGAGCGTAAATGAGGGTGCAGCTGGTAAGGAAAGATTAGATGACCATCCCTCCCTTTGTTTTTGCTGGTACACAAACATTTCTGTATGTCTATTTGTCTGTCTGTCAAGCTCCCTGTCTCAGAGAGAGCCACAAGACTGCGTCATCATGTTTACTCACATCTTCAAGCAGAGTATAGCACTTTGTCTGGATTTTTTGGGTTATCCTAGGTAATTTACGCTATGTATACTTGTATTTATGTGTACCTGTGAGACAGAGATAGACAGAGAGAGGGAGAGAGAGAGACAGAGTGAAAGAGATAGAATGAGGGAGAAAGATAATTAGATAGAATGGAGGGGAAGCAGCATCCGACCCCATTGTTTTGACAGTCAGTAGGGGGAGTGAGTAATGAGACAATATGTCATTTTGACAGCTGCCCACTCCTGACTCAAAACAATTATAAGCCACACACTCGCACACAAGACGAGGAGGAGGAGGAGGAGGAGGAGGAGGAGGAGGAGGAGGAGGAGGAGGCAGAGGAGGCAGAGGAGGAGGTGGAGGAGGAGGAGGAGGAGGTGGAGGGAGGAGGAGGAGGAGGAGGAGGAGAAGGAGGGAGGAGGAGGAGGAGAAGGAGGGAGGAGGAGGAGGAGAAGGAGGAGGAGGAGAGGAGGAGGAGGGAGGAGGAGGGAGGAGGAGGAGGGGGAGGGAGGAGGAGGAGGAGGGGGGGAGGGAGGAGGAGGGGATGCACAATAAAGTACAAATTTATAGACAAAATATGTAGTCTTGGAGATTGCTTGATGCTGAGACACATCACTAACCCCTTTACAATGAACTTCTTTTGTATTTCTTCCATTTTCCTCTTGTTTTCCTCTTCCAAGAGGAAAAAAACAGGAAATCTGTACAAATATCTAGTCTTGGTTTGCTAAGCAGAAAGAAAGCCATTATCATGCCCCGGCATGTTAGTGGCTTTCTTTCTACTTAGCAAACCAAAATTGTAATTACATATTGTAACCTTTACAAAGAAATAAACCTTTACTTTACTTTACTTTACTAGTGTACTGAGTGGCTGTAGGAAGGAGACTAAGATGGTTGATGCTGAGATGCTGTACTGTCTGTTCATGATCCAAGTTCTCACACAGTATACAATAACAACTTGTCGGAGAGCCTGTCATAACTCCGAGTTGTCGGTAAACGAGTACATCAGTAAACGAGTACGTCAGTAAGTGAGGAGAGGTTGTACTCTGATAATTATACTGATGTGTATTTGTACCTAAATAAACTTGCACATTGTGCTGGCATGCAGGTACACATTAAAATCACTAAGAGTGTCTTATTAGTCTTGAAGACACCATATTAACCCTTAAACGTAGATCTAAGTTAACTCATGTGGTGCTCCGAATATTTTGAAAAAATAAAAATATTGTTTTATTCTTTTAAAATGAAGAGCACATTTTTCTACATGTTATAGAATTAAAAAAAAAATTTAGGGTCAGTACTTACCGAGATATAAGACCGTGAAGTTGGCTTTGGATGCTCACCTGTCAGCAACATCGACTCCTGCCGCTTGCAGAAGTGTTGCCGATAAACCTTTTTTTTTAGTTTTCATTTCAATTTATATTTTTATGTTCTGATAATTACAATTTATAATAGTTCTTGTAATTTCATAGCCAATCTTTGTTCTGACACTAATATTAGGTACTGAAATAATGCTCAAATAGTCACAGTCACATTGACAGGTGAACATTTACACCTGCCTGGGTTATTTACTATTGTTTAGAAATATATACAAAATATTTATAGGTCCCAGCAATGTTTTAGATACCCTGACATACGCCTTGAAGCATGTTGTTATGAAAGACATCTCTACATGGTTGACAGCCTAGTGACATTTGATAAATGCCCACTGCTCCAGCTAACTCTCGCTGTATTTGTTATCACTGTTACACACAAACATGTCTTGTCTCTCTGTCTATTTATCTCTCTATCTGTCTATCTGCCTGCCTATCTATCTGTCTGTCTCTGTCTGTCTGCCTGTGTCTGTCTGTCTCTGCTTGTCTGCCTGGAGTATAGGATATCAAACTCCTTGAAGAATCTTGTTATGACATCTGTTATCAGCTCGGTGACATTTGATAATGGGTGCTCGGGGGAACCCTGGCTTTATTTGTCTTCACTGATACACAAACATGTTTCTGTCTATCTATCTGTCTGTCTATCTTTGCCTGGAACTTTTGGATTATCCTAGGTAATTTACACTATGTATAATAACTGTACTTATGTGTACATGTGAGACAGATATAGATAGACAGAGATATAGATAGACTGAGATACAGATAGATAGAGATATAGATAGACAGATATATAGACAGATAGAGATATAGACAGAGAGACAGCCAGAGACAGCCAAAGCAAGCCAGCTGGCCAAATACATAAGAACATAAGAAAGAAGGAACACTGCAGCAGGACTACTGGCCCATGCAAGGCAGGTACATATCACACTCCCCCCCCAGCTTAGACAAATGACCCACCTAGTCAGGTCACATCCATTGACTAGCACAAGCTCGTCAGGTCGAACTCACACCCACCCACTCTCACTCATGCATTTTCTTTCTTTCTTTCAACACACCGGCCGTATCCCACCGAGGCGGGGTGGCCCAAAAGGAAAAACGAAAGCTTCTCCTTGTACATTTAGTAATATATACAGGAGAAAGGGTTACTAGCCCCTTGATCCAGGCATTTTAGTCGCCTCTTACAACACGCATGGCTTACGGAGGAAGAATTTTGTTCCATTTCCCCATGGAGGTAAGAGGAAATAAACAAGAACAAGAACTAGAAAGAAAATAGAAGAAAGCCCAAAGGGGTGTGTATATACATGCTTGTACATGTATGTGTAGTGTGACCTAAGTGTAAGCAGAAGTAGCAAGACGTACCTGAAATCTTGCATGTGTATGAGACAGAAGAAAAAAGACACCAGCAATCCTACCATCGTGTAAAACAATTACAGGCTTCAGTTTTACACTCACTTGGCAGGACGGTAGTACCTCCCTGGGCGGTTGCTGTCTACTAACCTACTACCTAGACTCATGTATTTATCTAACCTATTTTTACTTTCCTCTTAAAATGGGAGTGTTAATGCGACATGGCATCAGTGAATCCCTGGTGTTTGCCATGCTATTTGCTCTAGCTGATGCTCAATTGAACTGGTGCTCCCACAAGGAACTAAGTGCTCCCAGATTTTTTTAATAGTGTGCACACTGAGTGCACAGACCCATTCTTTCATGTCTAGGCGACTCAAGCCTATTGTGCCAAATTAGAAGGAATGAAAAATAAAATGCTGATCTACGTTTGGAGCGCTATGCATGGAAACGTTGATCTACATTTGGAGCGCTATGCATGCAAGCATAGATCTACGTTTGGACAGTTTAAGGGTTAATAATGATAATAATAATAAAACATAATAATAATAACTGAGGTGCATTAAATGTCATATATTACATTAATATAACAATTTTCATTAATCCACCCATGATATTTTTTTTTCAAAATTATATAATAAACACACTACGTAACATATGAACATGATAAATACACCCCACAGTAGAATAATTAACATAAATATGAAGTTTTTCCAGTCGTCTTGTCGGAGTGTTGGAAAGAATAACGTTTTCTCTAGTTCAACACCAAAGAAAATGTGTATACAATAGTATTACTGGGGGTAACTGTAGAAAATTATTCCTTCCATATGCCTTCACTCAGAGCATCATTCCTTATAAAAAATGGTGTGCTACATGAGAATGGGAGTGTAGCTCTTTATTTGTTCTACTTTACCAATGTGGAGACAACTTGTACACAATGTAAGGTGTTTGTATTATGGTATAAGCTTCACAAACACAGAAATAAGTCACTCTGACTTCTTGGGGTTATCCTAGGTAATCTATGCACATGCTGCTATGTATAATAATCTATGTAACTACATTTGTGTATACCTGTACCTGAATAAAAACATTTTTTTTTTATTTATGTCTTTGCAAATAGTACATTGAGATTATATATTTACAATAATGGGTTGCAATGCAAAGAGAGCCTCTATTATGCCTAGGCATTATGGGTTGACTTAACATTACTGGCTTACTGACTACTTAACACTAAGAATTAGAGTGGAACCTTGACTTACAAGTTTAATCCATTCCAGGAGCTAGCTCGTAACTCAATTTACTCGTATATCAAATTAATTTTCCTCATTTAAATTAATTGAAAAGCCATTAATTCATTCCTGCACTCTGGAGAGATGAGAAAAAATATTTGAATATGACGCTATTATCAACTGTACGGCTTATTTACCTATCACAATTCATCTAATATGACATAATAAACAATATAATTAGCACAGAAACATGATATGTACTCTAGAATGAATAAAATAGGCCATAATATGGTGGCAGAGGAAGTGGCAGTGGCAGAAGCGTCAGCCATTTCTGTCCCAATTTGACTAGTATCTTCCCATGTTCTTACTGTAAGAGAAAATGGAGTATTTTTGAGGCTAACTGCAGTAGATCACTAGGACCCATGGTTAGAAAAAAGAAATTTGGCCAAATGACTGTAAAAAAATGCAAACAAGCATGAGAGGACTGCCCCCCACAGGGATGTAAACATGTTTACTGCTTACCAGCTGTGCCAACTAGCAGAAGCAATCTGAATTATTATTACGTATATATTATGCATTATTATTATTACTATTAATTTAGGGAACTGAAGCTCTATCATTATTAAAATAATTATTATTACTGTTAATTTAGGGAACTGAAGCTCTATCATTATTATTATTATTCTTTCTTTCAACACACCGGCCGTATCCCACCGAGGCAGGGTGGCCCAAAAGGAAAAACGAAAGTTTCTCCTTTTACATTTAGTAATATATACAGTAGAAGAGGTTACTAGCCCCTTGCTCCCGGCATTTTAGTCGCCTCTTACAACACGCATGACTTACGGAGGAAGAATTCTGTTCCACTTCCCCATGGAGATAAGAGGAAATAAACAAGAATAAGAACTAGAAAGAAAATAGAAGAAAACCCAGAGGGGTGTGTATATATGTGCTTGTACATGTATGTGTAGTGTGACCTAAGTAGCAAGACATACCTGAAATCTTGCATGTTCATGAGACAGAAAAAAGGACACCAGCAATCCTACCATCATGTAAAACAATTACAGGCTTTCGTTTTACACTCACTTGGCAGGACGGTAGTACCTCCCTGGGTGGTTGCTGTCTACCAACCTACTACCTATGATTATTATTATTATTAATTTAGGGAACTGAAGCTCTACTGTTATTATAATAATACAGTAGACCGCCATTGAAGAATTGCTGCACAATTTTATGTAACACGTTGTATGATTAATTTAACATGGTTCAGTTTGTGAGAAGGAAAAAAAAAATTCTCTTTTGCTCAAGCGGCCACCTTGTTGTGTAGCAACCGGGAAGCCATCCCCTACCATTTTCCAGCACCCCCCCCCCCCCCCACCATTCCTGATTCATACATGTCCAGTCTTTCTCTGCTACAAGGCAGCTTTGTTTGTGAACTGTGTTAAGATATTTTAATTACTATATTTTGTATCTGCCAAGCAATCATGACACCCAGTAGCTATACAAGTGTTGACGAAAGTGGCACGAAGAGGTATAAGCACTTAGGTCTCAGAATTTGGGGTTTGGGTGGAGAAGACGCATGTAGTGTCATCTGCAAATAATATGGGTTTGAGTAGCTGTGATGCATTCGGTAGATCATTGATGTAGATGAGAAAGAGGAGTGGTCCATAGACACTTCTCTGTGGGACTCCTACTATGACTGGTTGGGTGGAAGAGTTTGCACCATTTGCGTACACATATTGAATTCTGCTACTAAGGTATGACTTTAGGTAGTTGAGGGAGTGACCTCTGATACCATAGTGCGTTAATTTAGAGTACAGCAGTTCATGGTCGACTGTATCAAAAGCTTTACGTAAATCAATGAAAATGCTCAGCGGGACTTCTTTCTTTTCGAGTGCAGTATATATTAGTTCTAGCATGTGTATGATAGCATCATTTGTGCTTTTATTATTACTGAATCCAAACTGACAAGGGTTTAATATGTTGTGAGACGAGGTAGGAATAAATCCGTTTATGAATTAATTTTTCAAAGATTTTAGAGAGCAGTGGTAAGTTAGATATTGGTCTATAGTTATTCAAGTCAGCTTGGTCACCTCCTTTATGGATCGGAGTGACCCTCGCTATTTTGAGGATTTCTGGGAAGGTAGACGATTCTATGGATTTGTTAAAGTGTGTTGCAATAATTGGTGACAATACTTGAGAAGCTTTTTTGTACATAAAAGCAGGCAAGTTGTTTATGTCTCCTGCCTTGTTTTTAAGGGTGTTGATGATAAGCAAGACTTCTGGTGGGATGGTTGGAGCTAGGAATAGCTTACTCACAAACATGGAAATAAACATGTATGAACCATAATCAAACACATTCATCTTCTTGTTTACATAATCCGCATCTCTGTCCTCTCTCATTTACTCATTCTCTCTTTTTCTCTCTCTCTCTCCCTCATTTATTCATTTTATCTCATTTACTCACTTCTCACCCTACATTAAGACTACAGATATTTTAAGGCAAGTAGTGAGTGTACTGTATATGCATTTTATTGCTCTAGGGTACTTTAAATGTATATTACGTGTGGTGGGATGGCCATATCTACCACACCTACCATACCTACCACATCTGACCTCTTACAATAAATACTACTCGCCTCTCACCCTACATTAAAACTACAAATATTTTAAGATAAGTAATGAGTGTATTGTGTGTGTATTTTACTTTTCATTGTTTTTAATGCCAAGTTCTATTTCTAACTTAATATATGTTAGTGTAAACTCCTTATCTGACATTTATATCATTTATAAGTGGAAAAAATGGCATTCTGCTTTCCAGCGATGTCCACTTTCTGGAGGTAGCCTGGAACCTAACCTGCCATATAAGTGGGGCCCTACTGTATATGTTTGTAAGATGTCTGAGGTAGATGTAAATTAGTTCAATACTATACTTATGTTAAGTATAAATAATAAGAGGTAAAATAGCTACACAAAAGAAAGGGCACAACTTATGGTATTTTTTAGGGAAGAGGGTGATATTTATTAATAATGGTCTTATGACTGGGCCACATAACTATTTTATGTTTTCATAGAAGAGGTAAACTGATAATGATTTTATGGCTCAGTTTAGATACATAGGCAGACTGTCTAAAAAACTCCAAAAAATGTAATAAATACATACTTGGGGATGCAGCGTCTGTTTTTACATTGGAAGTCTCCATTCTCATGGCACTTAGGGCAATGTTCAACTAGTTCATCCGTATTATCTCGACAATCATCTTTGCCATCACAGAACAGCCATTCTGGTATACAACGGTAATTTGTGCGACCTGGACACCTGAAAATTGTATATCCAATTTAAAGACGATAATAAAAGATGCTGAGATAAAAATTATAAATGCATACATATACAGTAATAGTGTAAATCATGGTGAAAGTGTTTCTTTTTTGGGTCATCCTGCCTCAGTGGGAGAGAGCCAGTGCTAAGTAAATAAATAAACAAATAAATAAATAAATAAATATATAAATAAACTTTAACAAATTTTGTTGAAAATAAGAAAAAGTTTTGGAGTGAGATTAATAAGTTGAGAAAGCCTAGAGAACAAACGGATCTGACAGTTAAAAATAGGAGAGGAGAGTTATTAAATGAAGAGTTAGAGGTATCGGGAAGATGGAGGGAATATTTTGAGGAATTGTTAAATGTTGATGAAGATACAACACACATGGCTTACGGAGGAAGAATCCTGTTCCACTTCCCCATGGAGATAAGAGGAAATAAACAAGAACAAGAACTAGAAAGAAAATAGAAGAATACCCAGAAGGGTGTGTATATATGCTTGTACATGTATGTGTAGTGTGACCTAAGTGCAAGTAGAAGTAGCAAGACATACCTGAAATCTTGCATGTTTATGAGACAGACAAAAGACACCAGCAATCCTACCATCATGTAAAACAATTACAGGTTTTCGTTGTACACTCACTTGGCAGGACGGTAGTACCTCACTGGGCGGTTGCTGTTTACCAATCTACTACCTAGGAATAAATATATATATATATGTAATATATATATATATATGTAATATATATATATATTCAGATATTTGGGAGTGGACGTGTCAGCGGATGGGTCTATGAAGGATGAGGTGAATCATAGAATGGATGAGGGGAAAAGGGTGAGTGGTGCACTTAGGAGTCTGTGGAGACAAAGAACTTTGTCCTTGGAGGCAAAGAGGGGAATGTATGAGAGTAGAGTTTTACCAACACTCTTATATGGGTGTGAAGCATGGGTGATGAATGTTGCAGCGAGGAGAAGGCTGGAGGCAGTGGAGATGTCATGTCTGAGGGCAATGTGTGGTGTGAATATAATGCAGAGAATTCGTAGTTTGGAAGTTAGGAGGAGGTGCGGGATTACCAAAACTGTTGTCCAGAGGGCTGAGGAAGGGTTGTTGAGGTGGTTCGGACATGTAGAGAGAATGGAGCGAAACAGAATGACTTCAAGAGTGTATCAGTCTGTAGTGGAAGGAAGGCGGGGTAGGGGTCGGCCTAGGAAAGGTTGGAGGGGGGGTAAAGGAGGTTTGGTGTGCGAGGGGCTTGGACTTCCAGCAGGCGTGCATGAGCGTGTTTGATAGGAGTGAATGGAGACGAATGGTTTTAATACTTGACGTGCTGTTGGAGTGTGAGCAAAGTAACATTTATGAAGGGGTTCAGGGAAACCGGCAGGCCGGACTTGAGTCCTAGAGATGGGAAGTACAGTGCCTGCACTCTGAAGGAGGGGTGTTAATGTTGCAGTTTAAAAACTGTAGTGTAAAGCACCCTTCTGGCAAGACAGTGATGGAGTGAATGATGGTGAAAGTTTTTCTTTTTTGGGCCACCCTGCCTTGGTGGGAATCGGCCAGTGTGATAATAATAAAAATATGTGTCTACTTTTAGTTCATTCACGTCCATTTGTAAGAGTTTGTAAAACATTTACCTCAATATTTTTTATTATAATAATAATTACCTCACAATACAAATACTCTTACATTGTGTACAAGTTGTACAAGTTAGTTCAGAATAAACAAACAGCAACACACCATTTTTAGAGTGAATGAAGATATTAATATTAATAATAATAATAATAATAATAATATTATTATTATTATTATTTATTATAAAATGCACTAAACCCACAAGGGTCGTGAATTGTTATATATAGAGTAAAGGCATATGAAAAGAACATTTTCCTACAGTTATCCCCCAGTTTGACTAGAGAAAACGTAATTCTTCCGACACTACCTACACAGCTGTTTTGAAAACGAATCTCATATTTACATCAATTTTTATTCTGTGAGTGTATGTATCATGTTTATATGCTATGTAATGGGTTTCATATATAATTTTGAGGAAAATATCATAGATGGATTAATGAAAATGCCTATATTGATGTAAAATAAGACATTTAGTGTGCCCAAGAGTGATTATTATTATGTAGTATTGGCGTCATGAGTAGAGAGAGAGACCTAGCGATTTTAATGTGTACCTTCACACCAGCACAGTGTGTAAGTATATTTAGATACAGGTACACTTAAGTATAATTATCAGAGTACATATAAAATATGCAATAACTTTAAAACACTTAAAATTTTGGAAAGTTTCCTGACATAATAGATGAGGCCACGGAAAATGTAAACAAACTGGGTGGGGGGCGCCGTATTTGAAAGACCGCTTGCCGTATAGCAAATTTTGGTCATAATTTGACATCGCCATATTAGCGGAATGCCGTCAGGTGAAACGCCATAAAGCGGGGCCTTACTGTATACGTACAGGTCTCCCTCAACATTCGCGTTTTCAACTTTCACGGGCTTCACACATTCGCGAATTCCCAGCCGCCAAATCATATTTATGTTGAAGACTTTGAAGTTCATGAACGACACTGATGAGGCATAATACCCTACAAAACTCTGTTTGTAGATATGAAGAAACGGTCTCAGTTGCCCATCACAATGATCTTCACAAGAAAGCCTGCCACTACAATCCCCATCCCTTTACCCAAGGTCTTATCGATGCTAAAACCTTGGATAGTTTCAAATTTAGGTTGGATAAATGTTGGATAAATGCGGAGCAATGTGGCAGATGTTGCAAGTATATGGAATAGGTGGTAAGTTATTAAATGCTGTAAAGAGTTTTTATGAGGATAGTGAGGCTCAGGTTAGGGTGTGTAGAAGAGAGGGAGACTACTTCCCGGTAAAAGTAGGTCTTAGACAGGGATGTGTAATGTCACCATGGTTGTTTAATATATTTATAGATGGGGTTGTAAAGGAAGTAAATGCTAGGGTGTTCGGGAGAGGGGTGGGATTAAATTTTGGGGAATCAAATTCAAAATGGGAATTGACACAGTTACTTTTTGCTGATGATACTGTGCTTATGGGAGATTCTAAAGAAAAATTGCAAAGGTTAGTGGATGAGTTTGGGAATGTGTGTAAAGGTAGAAAGTTGAAAGTGAACATAGAAAAGAGTAAGGTGATGAGGGTGTCAAATGATTTAAATAAAGAAAAATTGGATATCAAATTGGGGAGGAGGAGTATGGAAGAAGTGAATGTTTTCAGATACTTGGGAGTTGACATGTCGGCAGATGGATTTATGAAGGATGAGGTTAATCATAGAATTGATGAGGGAAAAAAGGTGAGTGGTGCGTTGAGGTATATGTGGAGTCAAAAAACATTATCTATAGAGGCAAAGAAGGGAATGTATGAAAGTATAGTAGTACCAACACTCTTATATGGGTGTGAAGCTTGGGTGGTAAATGCAGCAGCGAGGAGACGGTTGGAGGCAGTGGAGATATCCTGTCTAAGGGCAATGTGTGGTGTAAATATTATGCAGAAAATTCTGAGTGTGGAAATTAGGAAAAGGTGTGGAGTTAATAAAAGTATTAGTCAGAGGGCAGAAGAGGGGTTGTTGAGGTGGTTTGGTCATTTAGAGAGAATGGATCAAAGTAGAATGACATGGAAAGCATACAAATCTATAGGGGAAAAGAAGGCGGGGTAGGGGTCGTCCTCGAAAGGGTTGGAGAGAGGGGGTAAAGGAGGTTTTTGTGGGTGAGAGGGGGTAAAGGAGGTTTTTGTGGGCAAGGGGCTTGGACTTCCAGCAAGTGTGCGTGAGCGTGTTAGATAGGAGTGAATGGAGACGAATGATACTTGGGACCTGACGATCTGTTGGAGTGTGAGCAGGGTAATATTTAGTGAAGGGATTCAGGGAAACAGGTTATTTTCATATAGTCGGACTTGAGTCCTGGAAATGGGAAGTACAATGCCTGCACTTTAAAGGAGGGGTTTGGGATATTGGCAGTTTGGAGGGGTATGTTGTGTATCTTTATATGTGTATGCTTCTAAACTGTTGTATTCTGAGCACCTCTGCAAAAACAGTGATAATGTGCGAGTGTGGTGAAAGTGTTGAATGATGATGAAAGTATTTTCTTTTTGGGGATTTTCTTTCTTTTTTGGGTCACCCTGCCTCGGTGGGAGACGGCCGACTTGTTGAAAAGAAAAAAAAAAATACATGAGTGAGAGGGGTTGGATCTGAGTGGGGCTTGCATGTGAGTAAATAGAATTGTCAAAGATTATTGCTTTGGTAGCATTTATTTCTGTCAGTTTTTACAGAGGAAGACATAAATGAGATTCCAGAAATTAACAATTATTCAGTTCCTGATGACTTCAAATTGACTAATATTACTGTCACGAGGGACATGGTTATCAAACAGATAGACAAACTGAAGCAAAATAAGTCCCCGGGACCCGACAAGTTATTTTCCATGGTACTTAAGGAATGCAAGATTGAACTTAGTCAGCCATTAACGAGAGTGTTTAATGCGTCCATCCTTACTGGTGTTGTGCCAGAGTTGTGGAAGCTGGCTAATGTCTGTTCCTTCAAATTACCATCCAATAAGCCTGACATCTATAGTGGGCAAGTTACTTGAATCAGTTATTGCTGACATTATTAGAAGTCACCTTGAAGAGCATAACTTGATAAATGAATCCCAGCATGGGTTCCTGAGAGGTCGTTCCAGCCTGACAAATTTACTGATGTTCTTCAAAAGAACATTTGAGGCAGTAGACAGTGATAAAGAATATGATATTGTTTATTTGGACTTTAGTAAAGCCTTCGATAGAGTACCTCACAAGAGACTTTTAAGAAAAGTAGCAGCTCATGGTACAGGAGGTAAAGTTCTAGCATGGATAGAGGCATGGCTTACCAATAGAAAGCAGAGAGTTTCGATTAATGGGGTCAAATCTGAATGGGGATTAGTGGCTTTCCACAAGGATCAGTTTAAGGCCCTCTCTTGTTCATAATTTACATTAATGA